ATTTAACCACATTCTTTATTTTAAGGTTCGTTTGCATAATTTTTTTTTGATTTGCAGAAAATGCATTGGATCTACGGAATGTTGTTGAATTTCATTGCCTCAGATACTTATTTCAGGCACCTTGAGTGTTTCGTTGTTAATTTTGAGAAAGTTTATATTAATATCTTTCTTTTTTAAGCCATGAAATACATCCATATATTGTATCATATCATTATAACCTGGAATCAAATATGCTTCTAAAATAAAAAAACTGCTGCATCTCAAATGATTTGGTACTAATTTTCGTTTGAATTTCTATCGTTGATTGTAGAGATGTTAAAACTTTATCCAGATTTCATTAACAAGTTTTTTTTCCGTATCGTCCGGGCTCGCATTTGTAAATTTCATATAACACGTTGGTAATGTGTGACAAATTATGATATGAATCTCGCTCAATATAATTGTTATTAAATTCGAGAAGACACCAATATGAGTAAAATCCAAACATCTGGGGAGCATTGTACAAACCGTTCCTATAAAGTCGTTGATTTAAGTTTCATTTTTTTTTTATTTTAAACACGTTTAATGCAATATTAAAAGTAACTCGATTTCAAATGTGATATATTCTTTAGGAACGTTCAAAAAGACATCGTAATGATTTCGAAGAAAAGTTACTGCTGTTTTCGTAAGAATATAAGTCTTTAAAAATGTGTTCACATTTGTAACGTACTGACCTTTGTAATTAGGAAATCTGTACATTGGTGAAACTTTTTTTGGAAAGTCTAGAACAATAACATGCACCACATCCGTGTAGAATAACAGTTTTAAGGCATTAATGTTCATTGTACAGATGTGTAGTAGGACTAGATAATAGGTGTATCTGTTCGGAAAAGAATATTTTGTAACTCGTTTATACGTGTACAAGTTTCAATTAGTATGATACTATTAGCATCGAATATTACTTTTGTTGAACACTTGGTTAAATACATTATATTGACATACACATTAACTGTATAATAACATAAAGAATATCGGGGACGTAGACAAATTATTTATTTATCACTCGACACAGAGTGATTTCAATGCTCATAAATCATTATAAAATAGTTATAAGTACTAGCATTATAATGTTAGTATTATACTAACTGCCATGGTTTTATTTATATACGTATTGCGAGAGTTTCTTTTCGGGAAAGGTACCTAAAAATTTTAACACTGTAAAGCATTAACGCTCTTAAATCAATATTATATAAATAGTAAGGCGTTGCAATAAATTTTGTTCGATTATCCCAGTATCGTAAAAACAATATTGGATACAGGAATATACGAGTTATATAGATTCTTTTTACAATAGATACACATTTTATCACATCCCACAACATAAGTGTACAATGAATTTTAATGCATTAAAATTGTTGTTTTATACATTAGTAGTGCATATTATTAATCCAGATATTCCAAATAGGGGTACAGCAATTCTCGGATGGCCTTCGAATAGAAGTAAGTTAAATAAAACAGTAAACGATTTTCAAAGAGAATATAATCTCAAAAAAGTCACAGAAAATATAACTCGGGATCAAGGCGATGACTTCGGATATATACCTAATGAATTTATCGCTTTTCAAATAGATTTACTTCTAATATTACAGCAGATGGCCTACGTGTTCAATAAAAGAAACCGAACTGGACTCACGTACAATGAATATTTTGTAACTGTTTGTTCATTGCTCCCGAGATGTCTGGACTATATCAATATAAATGTCTTTCAGAATTCAATAACCGTAATGTTAAACAAAATGCATATAGTTCTTTGTCAAACATTGCCTACGTATTATTTAAAAATTATCAATTCGTCACGGAAGGATACAGAAAAAGAAGTTATTTATAAGGAAATTGAGAGAAATTTGATATATATAATATCAATGTTAGAGAATAAAACAAAAATTGGGAACAACTTATTTGAGCATCAAAATTATCAGAAAGACAGTAAGAATTTTCTTTTCAAAGTTTACAATATCATTGGTAAAATTGATATGATATCATGTATGAGAAAAAATCTCGAAAGCCTGAAGAATTATCATACCGAACAAAAAACGCTTAACGGAAAGAAATTACAGAAGGTTGATACCAGAAACAATAACATTAAACAATTTTTAGTAAACGGAAAAGTCTTTTTGGATGTGAACATGAGTTATACGGATAGACTTAAAAAAAAGTGCGGTCTGTCAAAATATGAAATTCGAACAAATGATTTGTCTATGTTTGAAGCAATGCATGAATTATTTGTTTATACATTACATAGACTCCAACAATTCTTTTCAAATACTATATTAGGCACTCAAAAAAAAAATTCACGAATAACTGAAAAAGACCTGGTAGATACTGCCAAAATAACAAAAATGATACTCGAATTATGTCAGAGTATCTCTTACGTTCTTGTTTTTTTTATAGAAAATATGTTTAACGATGACTTAAGAATATTCAACGTGTATTTTACGTTCTGTTTCGACTTTACGGAATACACCAATACGCGTTGTATCAGTGCATTTCACGGTACT